ACATATATATATACATACATACACTTGAGTTTATGAAGGCACCTTCATTGTTTTGGTTACAGTGACATGTGACCATTAATCAAAACAAGCATCGATTATTGGCTGTCGACAGGAGTTATGTTAACCATACTTTGATAATTTTTTTGTTGTGTTTAAATAACTTGTTTTGTCGTTTTTCTTAAGAAGCTGTTTTTTAGTAGCTGCCAATCAAAAGCTTCCATTAAAAAAGGTTTTATGTAAATTTAAGTGTGCTAAAGTCAATAAATACAGTTCACTAAAAAGAAGCAACAAAACGTGTAAAACAAACAAACAAAAGCATTAGTAATAATAAGTCACTGACGTCAAAATACGCTGCTACAATAAACACTGCAGAGGTAAACATGCTGAACTTTTTGTAGATCTTGTTTCATTACTTTTGACTCCGCTCCAGAACTTGACCTAGATTTCAGTTCCGCCTTTATTACTTGTTTCTTTACAACTAGTGCTGTGTACAAACTAGTACTGCAAATTTTACAATCCAGATACCAAGTAAATACAGGGTCAGTACTGCGGGTACCAATACTTGTACTTTTAACCTATAAGGAAAGCCTATATAGGTAAGTGCAGTGTATCACGACTTATGAGACATGCCATTATTAATTTGCAAATTCTGAAAACATTTGAATGATTTTTACTTTCCACAATAATTAGAAAAAACAACAAAACACACCTTTTAGTTTCTCGTGAATTTTCAAACTGGGTTTTTTGGAGACCCAGAATTAACTGTTCATGTCTCAAAAGCACGTTGGGTCAGCTTCTGTTATTAAATATTCTATAGGGTACAAATAAAATAGACTTGCAGTCAACACAAACAGGTTTAGACCTTTTTTAATAGGTTGTTTAAGGAATATTATGTCATGTGCAAAAGAAATAATTTATTTAACAGATTCAGTGGACTACAGACTGAACTTAAAGCACTTAATCAATCTGATACCAATATCTGTGTCGGTATCAATATTTGGATTAATTCGTTCACCTTTATTAAAAACACAACACTAAGACAAAGGCAGTCAGTTCACTTCAGTGGGTTACACAAGCAGGAGGAGGAGCTTGGAGATGTGCCCAGTTTTACACCTGCGGCCATATGAATAAAAGGAAATATTGTGAAAAGGTTTTCAAAATGTTGCCTTTTAAAATATTTGAAAGCTACATTGCAAATACCCAGCCAGCCCTTTTGAAAGGCTGTATCGTTTCATGTGACAGCCAGAAAGCTAATGATGCTGGTGGTAATTTCCACACTTATTTCTCATTTTTGATCACCTCTGCTAGGCGCTAACAGTGTATATATAGATACATACACACAGTAGTTAAACTTAACTGCTGATGGAGAAGAGGAAGTCGGTTTCATGTTGTAGGGAAGTCCGCTGCAAGATTCGTGGTATTTACAGTTTAACAGCACAAGCATTTAAATGCAATCAGAGCTCATCAGCTGTGTTGCAAAATCCATCTTCTTTAACCCATTTTACTCCACAAATAAGAGTTTTAAATAAGAAATAATTATTTGAAATAATAATAAGTAATTTCAAATAAGAACAACAGAAGTAATGTGAATGATTTAAGCGTATGGTTTAATTAGCAGCCAAGTTAATGAACATCCTACAGTCTGATGACTGACTCATTAAAACCTTACAAAACAAACAGGTGCGTTTAAAGGCAAATGGGGCAGCGAGTTATAAATGTTAAATTAAATATAACACTAGAAAGAAAATAAATTTGGAGAGCCACACCAGAGCTATTTGTATTGTACATAATTTGACAGGTTTTCAAGGTAGTCCTTGAAAAGTAGAGATGACGGCAGCTAACTTGCTGTTTTTCAAAGAAAGCATCATTAATGTGCCTGAACTGAAATAAAATGAAGTTTCTGTCTATTGTGATTCTCATAGCGAAGTCGCTTTTTCTTGGAAAAAGCTAGCGTTCTGTTGCTATCTGCTGGCAGGTCAGTTACGGACAGAAACATGTCCCTGTGCAAGTGTATATAAACATTTCTGAAACTTACATGGGTGTATAAGCAGTAGCTGGTTGTGGTGGTTGAAGCTGACCTCTGTCAGGAAATTGTCTGCTGCTGTTTTCATGCCTGAAGTCAAAATGTCGGATGTTAGAAAGTGGCTCGTGGTGCTGTCACATTCCTAAAACTCAGAGAAAGATAATTTACCACTGGTTGCTGCACATACAACATTTTTAAGGACTTGTGAGCATGAAGGTGGAAGCCCAGATTTGTACTTCTTGTTATATTAGACAGTCTCTTGCATGCCTTCTTTCCTGTCTTCCTTCTCTCACCCCAACCGGTTGCAGCAGATGGCCCCGCCCCTCCCTGAGCCTGGTTCTGCTGGAGGTTTCTTCCTGTTAAAAGGGAGTTTTTCCTTCCCACTGTCACCAAAGTGCTTGCTCATAGGGGGTCACATGATTGCTGGGTTTTTCTCTGTATGTATTATTGTAGGATCTACCTTACAATATAAAGCACCTTGAAGCGACTGTTGTTGTTATTTCATGCTGTATAAATAAAATTGAATTTAATTGACTTCTCCTGCTAAAGTGAGTGCTGAGTTAGCAGTTATATGTGTATGTGTTAGTCCCCATAGGGAAATAGTTCCTCTGCATTTAACCCATTCACGCAGTGAAGCAGTGGGCAGCCACCAATGCAGCGCCCGGGGAGCAGTGTGTAGGGACGGTACCTTGCTCAGGGGTACCTCAGGGTAGCCGTTCAGTGGAGTTGAACCCCCGACCTTCCGATCATGGGGCCACCACTCTACCTACTGAGCTATATGACAACTAAAGCACAACAGTTATACAGCTACAGATATAATTTGTAAAATAAAGTAAACCTAATGAGTAACAAAAAAGTCAAGCCCCCTTTGAGAAATTAAAGTTTACTCAGTTTTATTTTTTCTTACATGCAGCTGTAGAGCTATGCAGCTAGCTAACTGACACCATTTGGCCTCAGTCTGGTTGAAACCATTCATCACCATATATTCACTTTTTATTCTTTTTAGACGGAACCAAAAGAAATGAAATGTCACAATAGGTTAAAACGATAGGATAAAACATGTTCATGGAAAAGCAGATTATGAAGCAGACAGAGAGAGATGTGAGGCAGAAATCTTTTTTCTTTCCTTTTTTTTGAAAGCTCGGTGTGGCCAGTTCCTGTTTTCAGCTCAAACCGATGCTTCTGAAACAGCGCGGTTCCTTTTTGACTCACACACGACCACAAAGCACACGCATGTAATGCTATACTTATGAGACCCTTTAGTGGCATTATTTAATGTGTGACCCACATCCCTGACTCAACCTCTGCATTCGACCTAAACCCTGTTTTAACCTTAACAGTGAGACTAAATCTTAAACCCACACGAGCCTTTGGAAAAAGTTACAAACTGACAACATTTCATCAGACTCGACCTCTAAAACTCAGAGTTGTCCTCACAAAGACAGAAATGCTCACAGGCACTCTGACGCTTATCTGCGTTGCTCATATCACTACTGAGTCATCTCGTCAGCAGGGCTGGTCTTTTTTAAAATGCTAACTTTTGGAATGACTGTCATTTTGTAGTTTCTGTGTCATGCATTTTTTTTCTAGTCAGAACATATTTGGATTTTATAATTAATAGAAAAT